TCATCAGTCAATGGGCATTTGGATTGCTTCCATGTCTTGGCTCCTGTGAATAGTGCTGCAATGAACATAGGGGTGCATATGTTACTTTGGATTATTGATTTCAAATATTTTGGGTAGATACCCAGTAGTGGGGTAGCTGAGTCGTATGGTATTTCTAATTTTATTTTTTTAAGGAATCTCCATAATATTTTCCATAGTGGCTGCACCAGATTGCATTCCCATCAGCAGTGTATGAGGATTCCCTTCTCTCCACACCCTCTCCAATGTTTGTTATTTTTAGTCTTAGTGATTATCGTCATTTTAACAGATGTAAGGTAGTATCTTAGTGTAGTTTTGATTTGTCTTTCCCTGATGATTAGTGATGTAGAACTTCTTTTCATGTGTTTATTGGCCATCTGTCTATCTTCTTTGGAAAAACGTCTGTTGATATCCTCTGCTCATGTTTTGATCAGGCTTTTTGTCTTTTTGTAGTTCAATTGTGTGAGTTTCTTATATATTATGGAGATTAACCCCTTGTTGGATATATGATTTGCAAACATTTTCTCCCAATTGGTGGGTTGTCTTTTTGTTTTCATCCTAGTTTCTTTTGCCTTGCAGAAGCTCTTTAGTCTAGTGAAGTCCCACTTGTTTATTTTTTTCTTTTGTTTCCCTTATCTGAGAAGACATAGTATTCAAAAAGATCCTTTTAATTTTGCTGTCAAAGAGTATACTAGCTATATTATCTTCCAAGTGTTTTATGGTTTCAGGACTTATCTTCAAGTCTTTGATCCATTTTGAGTTTATTTTTGTGTAGGGTGTGAGATACTGGTCTAGTTTCATTCTTTTGCATGTGGCTGTCCAGTTTTCCCAACACCATTTATTGAAGAGACTATCTTTTTTCCATTGTAAGTTCTTAGCACCTTTGTCAAAGATTAGCTGTCTGTAGATGTGCGGTTTTATTTCTGGGCTTTCAGTTCTGCTCTGTTGATCTGTCTGCCTGTTTTTGTAGGAGTACCATGCTGTTTCTTTTCGGTGGGGGGAAGATGAGCCCTGAGCTAACATCTGCCGCCAATCCTCTTGCTTTTTTGGGTGAGGAAGACTGGCCTTGAGCTAACATATGTGCCCATCTTCCTCTACTTTATATGTGGGACGCCTGCCACAGCATGGCTTGCCAAGTGGTACATAGGTCCACACCCGGGATCCGAACCGGTGAACCCTGGGCCACTGAAGTGGAATGTGCAAGCTTAGCCACTGTGCCACCAGGCTGGCCCCAGTACCATGCTGTTTTGATAGCTGTGGCTTTATAGTACATTTTGAGGTCAGGGATCATGATGCCTCCAGCTTTGTTCTTTTTTGTCAATATCACTTTAGCAATTCAGGGTCTTTGGTTGCCCCATATGAATTTTAGGATTCTCTGTTCTATTTCTGTGAAGAATGTCATTGGTATTCTGATTGGGATTGCATTGAATCTATAGATTGCTTTGGGTAGTATGGACCTTTTAACTACGTTTATTCTTCCCATTCATGTGCATGGAATCTCTTTCCATCTCTTTATGTCATCATCTATTTCTTTCAATCATGTCTTATAGTTTTCATTGTATGAGTCCTTCACCTCCTTGGTTAAATTTATTCCCAGATACTTTATTCTGTTTGTTGCAATTGTAAATGGAATTGTATGCTTGAGTTCTCTTTCTGTAAGTTTGTTATTAGAGTATACAAATGTGACAGATTCTTGTATGTTGATTTTTTTATCCTGCAACTTTACTGTAGTTGTTAATTATTTCTAATAGTTTTCTGATGGATTCTTTAGGGTTTTCTGTGTATAAGATCATGTTGTCTTCAAACAGTGAGCGTTTCACTGCTTCACTGCTTATTTGGATACCTTTTATTCCTTTCTCTTGCCTAATTGCTCTGGCCAAAGCCTCCAGTAGTATGTTGAATAAGAGTGGTGATAGTGGGCCTCCTTGTTTTGTTCCTGTTTTTAGAGGGATGGCGTTCAGTTTTTGCCCATCGAGTATGACGTTGGCTGTGGGTTTGTCATATATGGCCTATATTATCTTGAGGTAATTTCCTTCTATCCCCATTTTGTTGAGTTTTCATCATAAATGGCTGTTGGATCTTGTCAAATGCTTTTTCTGCATCTGTTGAGATGATCATGTGGTTTTTATTCCTCATTTTGTTAATGTGGTATATTTCGTTGATTGATTTGGGGATGTTGTACCATCCCTGTGTCCCTAGTTTAAATCCCACTTGATCACGATGTATGATCTTTTTGATGTATTGCTGTATTTGGGTTGCCAATATTTTGTTGAGGAATTTTGCATCTATGTTCATCAGTGATATTGGCCTGTAGTTTTCCTTTTGTGTGTTGTCCTTGTCAGGCTTTCGTATCAGCGTGATGTTGGCCTTGTAGAATGTGTTAGGAAGTGTCCCATCTTCCCTAATTTTTTGGAATAGCTTGAGAAGGATAGGTATTAATTCGTCTCTGAAAGTTTGGTAGAATTCTCCAGGGAAGCCGTCTGGTCCTGGGCTTTTATTTTGGGGGATGCTTTTGATTATTGTTTCAATCTCTTTACTTGTGATTGGTCTATTCAGATTATCTATTTCTTTTTGGTTCAGCTTTGGGAGTTTGTAAGAGTCTAGGAATTTATCCATTTCCTCTAGATTGTCCATTTTGTTGGCATACAGCTTTTCGTAGTATTCTATAATAATCCTTTGTATTTTTGTGGTATCCGTTGTTATTTCTCCTCTTTCATTTCTAGTTTTATTTATCTGACCTTTCTCTCTTTTTTTATTTGTAAGTCTGGCTAGGGGTTTGTCAATTTTCTTTATCTCCTCACAGAACCAACTCTTTGTTTCATTGATCCTTTCTACTGCCTTTTTTCTTTCAATTGCATTTGTTTCTGCTCTGATTTTTATTATTTCTCTCCTTCTGCTGACCTTGGGCTTTGTTTGTTCTTCTTTTTCTAATTCAGTGAGGTGTAATTTGAGATTGCTTATTTGGGATTTTTCTTATTTGTTAAGGTGAGACTGTATTGCGATGAATTTCACTCTTAATATGGCTTTTGCTGCATCCCATATGAGTTGGTGTGGTATGTTTTCATTTTCATTTTTCTCCAGATATTTTTTGATTTCTTCTTTAATTTTGTCAATGATCCATTGGTTGTTCAATAGCCTGTTGTCTAGTCTCCACATCTTTGTCCATTTCTTAGCTTTTATCTTGTAATTAATTTCTAGCTTCATGGTATTGTGGTTGGAAAACATGCTTGTTATTATTTCAATCTTCTTAAATTTGTAGAGGCTTGCCTTGTTTCCCAACATATGGTCTATCCTTGAGAATGACCCCAGATCCCAGTCTTTTCGGGAGGGAGTGAAGTTTTCAGTTACCTCGTTCTACCTCCTCCTAGGGGGGGCTCCAGCCTTTCTGCCCTCTTTTGTATGGCCGCATAGGTCTCTCAGTCTCTCAGATGTGTTTTGTGTTGTGTTTGGATATCCTCTGTTGGAGTATGAATGTCTTTTTCTTTGTATGGTGGAGGGGAGAGATTACCGGGAAAGCACACTCTACCATGATGCTGACCTCACTCCTGAGTCCCAGTATTCTTGATCTGTCACATCTGGGGTAGAGTCCTTACCCTAAGAGTGAGAACTAGGAGGGGAAAAGAAGACCCAGTCCTCTCATTGCACCAGTCCACAAGAGCACTTCCAAAACACATTCCTGGGGAGGATAAAAGAGGCTGGCAGCCTGCCTCTCCCAGGATGAAACCATAACCTAGGTAGGAGTCTAGGAACTGGAGGGAGAGGGAATTCCCACCTTCTTGACAGCACCCATCTGGAGTAGCTTTCATCACATTGAACTGGTGTGGGTAGGAACAGATTGTGGTTGACATGCCACAGACTCTCACTGTTCTTACTGAGATTTAGTTGATCTTTTTTGAATAAATGGTTTTCCATTTGCTATATGACCTTAGGACAATTTCCAGAGACTTTAAATGGTTGTTTGTTTTAATGGGGTCTTTTTAGGCAATGGTCATTTTACTGGGTAGAGGTTCCAAGAGTTTCTTATACCACCATTGCAGAAGTTCCATCCTCATTGCTTATTTTAAAAAATGGAAGTAGAAGATTTAATGTACCAAAGGAAACCTCTATGAGACAGGGCTTACAATGACGAATCCAGCATTATATCCTTGTTATCAAGCTGAAAACTCAGTTTAGTAGTTCTGGGTCCTTTACAGTTATTTTTAGAATATTTCAAAGTAATGTCTTCAATTTAGTTCAGTTCACCAAAATTTTACTAACTTCCTCTCTTGGAATACCAATTTTATGGTGAGTGATCTTTGTTTTTGCCTTTTAAGTTTTATGTTTTGAAACCCTGAGGAGGCTCGTATTAATATATTATTAGTGGTTATCAGAATGTTACATAGATAATATGGTTTGGTAATGAAAGCAGAGATCTGAAAGTCAAATTTCCCTACTCCCAACCCCTCTCTCTCATTTTCAGTACCAATCTAGGAAATATTAGAAATCACTTAACTGCTAAATTGATTCATTCAGCTGCAAAATGAAACTAATAGTGCCTCACATGGGTATTGTGAAGGTTAATAAATATTACTAAAGCTTTTGTTTCCATGAAAACTCCTGCATTTCTTTTATTTTAAAAATATATTTATATTTCTTATACTTTAAAATGTGCCCATTAAGTCAGAGCTTGTATACACATGTAAACTATTTTAATGCAATATATATATAGCGAAATGGAAAAGAGCAATAATGTAATGTTAGTGTTGATTTATTGGATCTACATCTTGAGGAAATTGTGGTTTTCTACAGTTAGAAAGTATTGCTCTATACAATTGATTTTCATGTATTAATTGGCTAATAATCTGTTGTAATGCTAAATAGAAAAGTTAGAATAAAGTGTAATTATACCATGTCTTCTTAGTAATATATAATCTTGAAAAAATATAATTTTAAATGAATATGCATATATATATATATATATTTTTTTCCTCTTTTAATGATAGCCAAAGCTATGATATTGGGAAGATGGAGAAGAATTCTATTGGGCCAGAAATGCTGGTGAGGATCGTGTTAAATGTTGTAGAAGTAGGTTTAAGAAATACAGTTTATGTTATTGTTATAAAATTATAATAGTCTATCCCCCCATTTGTAAGTAGATTATCCATTGGGTACATCATTTACTATCTCAGTGGATTGATTTCTGTAAAATTGATATACCAGTAAGATCTACCCTACAGGTAGATTAATTTAATACATGTAAAGTGCTTAGAACAATGTTTGGCTAAGTAAGGTTTAGCTTTTATTATTGCATGTTCAAAAATTCTAGGTTTTCTCCTAACCAACCAGATAGAATGAGCTTGGTTTGGAAGTTAATTTGAATATTTAATCAAACAAAGTGTGATTATGTGAATAAATCTGATATAAAACCAATTTAATACATGCCATAGCAAAATGGGATATTTTTTGAATATCCATCTTGGCTTCTTACCATTACAATATATTAATGAAAATGTAACCAAGTATCTATATATATCTAGAAATGTGATAAATGGGGAATAAAAGAGAAGGATAAATTGTGGCCTCTACCCTTAAAAAGCTTATGTTTGAAGGATAAAACTAATACAAGTGAATACAACAAAATATTATTCATCCATTAAAAGGAAGGAAATTCTGACAGATGCTACAATGTAAGTGAACCTTGAGGATGTTATGCTAAGTGAAATAAGCCATTCACAAAAAGACAAATGCTATATGACTCCACTTAAATGAGGTACCTTGAGATGGTTGCAGGGGTTTGGAGGGAGGTGAACATGGGGAGCTATTGTTTAATGGGTACAGAGTTTCAATTTCGCAAGATTAAAAGAGTTCTGGAGATGTATGGTGTTGATGGTTACACAACAATGGGAATATACTTAATACTGTTGAACCATACACTTAAAAATGGTTAAGATGGCCAATTTTATGACGTGTGTATTTTATCACAGTTAAAAATAATAAAAAATATATTGTGATGATGTCACATAAGGGAATATTATATAGCAGTGAGAATAAATGAGCTACAGTAATTGCAACAATATGAATGTTCTCACATATAATGTTGAATAAAGAAAGCAAGATATAAAGCAATACATACTGTATGATTTCCTAGATGTAAATGCCAAAGCAGGTAGAACTAATACATAGTGTTGGAAATCAGGTAATTGGTTATCCTTGTTTGGAATAGTGTCTGAAAAGAGGCGTGAGGTGAGCCTGTTGCTGTTAACGCTCCATATCTTGATTTCTGTGTTGTTAACATACATGTGTTTACTTTGTGAAAATTCAGAGCTGTACTCTTGAGATTTTTAAACTTTTTTGTATGTATTTTCTACTTCATTAAAATTCAAAAATCGATTTTAAAAACTAGTACAGTGAAACAATTTGGGAAAAATAAATGATAAAAACTGTGTGGTACTGACCTGAAGTATGTAGAAGGGCATGCAGAAAAGGGGAATATCAAGGTTGACTAGAGTAGTTGAAGAAGCATTCTGGCAGGAAGGCCTTAAAAAGTAGATGGAATCTATACAGTTAAAAGGGAGGGAAAAGGGGATACCAGGCAAAGGATCTAGATGAGAAGATGTCTGGAGGAGGAAATGAGGATAGAAGACAGGATTTAAGTGTGATTGAAGTGCAATATTCATATTGCAAAGTATGGAGAGGTAAGATTATGAAGTAGTTTTTCTTTCATGGTAGCAGTACTTTGTTGAGGTATAATTTATATACAGTCATGCGTCACTTAATGATGGGGACACGTTCTGAGAAATGCATTGTTAAGCGATTTCATCGTTGTGCGAACATCATAGAGTGTACTTTACACAAACCTAGATGGTGTAGCCTACTATACGTCTAGGCTATATGGTACTAATGTTATGAGACAGCCGTCGTATATGTGGGTTGTCATTGACTGAAACGTCGTTATACAGGGCATGACTGTATACTAAATTGCACAAATCTTAAGTGTACAGCCTGATGAGTTTTAAAATATTTATATAGTCTTGTAACTACCACACAGATCAGGATACAGAAATTTCCATCACCCTCAAAAGTTCCTTTGCCACCTTTCCAGTTAATAGCTGTTCCTATCCCCAAGATAAAACCACTCTTCTGACTTCTATTGCTATTGATCATTTTCAACTTTTCTTGAACTTTGTATAAATGGAATCATATAGTATGTACTATTTTATGTCTGGCTTCTTTTACTTACCATAATAGTTTTGAGATTCATCCATTTTGTGTTATCTTTCTGATTATTTGACCCTTTTACTATTACGAAATAGCTACAGTCTTTCTCAGAGATGTCATATTTACTCCATAAAAGTCCTCTGAAGGAGTTTATAAGTTTCACAGTTATTCCACAATACTAATAATGATACTAAGTACATTATACACATCTTATTTGATTCATCTTAGTTTTTGAATTAAGAAACTCACAGATATGACACCCTGTCATTTCTCTAGATTCACAAAGCCCTAATGTGCTTAACATATTTTTTAAAAGTTGAAAGATCACCTTTGCCTGGTCCTACTGTCCTCATTATACTTAGAGGCAGATTCTTCATTGAAATAGGGCTCTTTCTTTCAAAATGTGAATCTGTAGTTAAATGTGTCCCTGCTGGCTAGAGTTACTCCCCTTACCAATGTAGACCTGGCTGGGAAACTAACTTAATTCAGCAATACATTATTAATTTTAAAACTTAGCTGAGTTAAGAGAAATCTTCTCTATAGGAAAGTATATCTGTTCCTACTGAAATGGTAGTATGTGTACCCTTGGTCTAATTGGTTAATCTCAAAAAAGGCTATAAAGTCTTTGAGAGAGGGATTGTGTGTTTTTATTTATCTTTTTTGATGGAGGCTTAATATAGTGCTACCTATACAGTAGGTAGTAAGATGATTAAATATTGCTGTGCCCTAGTTTCCTTTATTTTTAAGGTGAGGATGATAAAGTACTTTAGTGCTAAAGCACCGTTAGGAAAATAATTATATTAACACAATTATATTAAACTTAAGCTATTACCATAAAATTGCTTAATAATATTTGGTGTGGGTAGCATAATGATGAGACATATCCTAAGATTATGTGGTTACTTAAGGAAATGCTATTTCATGATGATGACTTATGTTTGAGAATATGCCTGTCACCGTGTGAGTGCTAGTCAGCTGATATGTTGCGCTTTAACCCTTGACTGTGTGCTTTTTCTATTTTTAATTATAGGCTAAAGTTCTACGATTACTAGCCACTGCTTATTTGGATTGGGACGACAGAGAATATTATGATAAGGCTCTCAGTGCTATAAACCTAGCAAACAAGGTATGAGGTTTTTACTTTTGAATATTAGCTTAATGAATTTTTTAAAGCTTTGATTCACATTTTGAAATCCAGTTTAGACATTTGCTTCAGTATTCTTGTTTTTTTTAAACAACAGGTTGTTACAGTGTCTTCTGCAGTGCAGAAAGGAAAAATATACTTATTTGACAAGATATTTTTGAAAAAAATTTTCTTTTGTATGAAACAGAAAGGGTTCTCTTTTTCTATGAGTTTATAGGATAAAGAAGGAAATGATGAGGCTGGTCTGATGGTGTGGTAGTTAAGTTCGTGAGCTCTGCTTAGGCGGCCCGGGGTTCGCTGGTTCAGATCCAGGGCATGGACCTACATGCTGCTCCTCAAACCATGCCGTGGTGATGTCCTATGTACAAAACAGAGGAAGATTGGCACTGATGTTAGCACAGGGACAATCCTCCTCAAGCAAAAAGAGGCAACAGGTGTTAGCTCAGAGCCAATCTTCCTCATCAAAAAAAAAAAGAAGGAAATGATGGTAAAATAGGCAAATAATGGGATTAGTTTGAGAAACATCAGTGGTTCACTTGCAGCTCATACTCATACTTATACATACATACATACATATGTATGTACATACACATACATACCTTTACATTCCTGGACAAGGAACACTGATAGGCTGATGACTGTTTAAAAAGAGATCTAATTAAGATCAATGTATTTTACTCAATAAGGCAATTAAATATACAGATACATTTTAGAAAGATTTTTTTCAACCAGGTTGGAGGCATGAAAATAAGTAGTTCAATTAACCAGAATATTAAGTTGCCCAAAGGGACCATTTACTTGAATTATATTTTCTTGAAATTTATGTCATGTCAATGGGGTTATTTAATGCTGAAATAATGCTTTAACATTAAATTTTTTTTAATTGCACTAACATTGGGTTATAACATTATATAGCTTTTGGATGTACATCATAATATATTTCGAACTCTGTGTAGATTATATCATGTTCACCACCCAAAAACTAATTATAGTCCATCCCCTCACATGTGAGCCCAATCATCCCTTTTGCCGTCCCCTCCCTTCCCCCATGGTAACCACCAATCCATTCTCCATTGCTATGTGTTTCTTTGTTGTTGTTTTTATCTTCTACTTATGAGTGAGATCATACGGTATTTGACTTTCTCCCTCTGACTTATTTCACTCATCATAATACCCTCAAGGTCCATCCATGTTGTCCAAATGGCCGGATTTCATCGTTTCTTACGGCTGAGTAGTATTCCATTGTGTATATATACCACATCTTCTTTATCCATTTGTCCCTTGATGGGCACCTAGGTTGCTTCCAAGTCTTGGCTATTGTGTGTAATGCTGCAATGAACATAGGGGTGCAGGTATCTTTTTTTTTAAAGATTTTATTTTTTTCCTTTTTCTCCCCCAAACCCCCCAGTACGTAGTTGTATATTCTTCGCTGTGGGTCCTTGTAGTTGTGGCATGTGGGACGCCACCTCAGCGTGGCTTGATGAGCAGTGCCATGTCCGTGCCCAGGATTCGAACCAACGAAACCCTGGGCCACCTGCAGCAGAGCGCGCGAACTTAACCACTCGGCCATGGGGCCAGCCCCGGGGTGCAGGTATCTTTATGCCTTTGCATTTTCAAGTTCTTTGGATAAATACCCAGCAGTGGGATAGCTGGATCATATGGTAGATCTATTCTTAATTTTCTGAGGATACTCCGTACTGCTTTCCATAGTGCCTGCACCAGTTTGCGCTCCCACCAGCAGTGTACAAGGGTTCCCATCTCTCCACATCCTCTCCAACATTTGTTGTTTCCTGTCTTGTTAATTATAGCCATTCTGACCAGAGTGAGGTGATACCTCATTGTAGTTTTGATTTGCATTTCCCTGATAGCTAATGATGTTGAGCATCTTTTCATATGCCTCATGGCCATCCGTATATCTTCTTTGGAGAAATCTCTGTTCAGATCTTTTGCCCATTTTTTAATTGGGTTGTTGGTTTTTTTGTTGTTGAGCTGTATGAGTTCTTTGTATAATTTGGATATTAACCCCTTATCTGATGTATCCATTCCCTTACACCATGCACAAAAATCAATTCAAAATGGCTTAAGGACTTGAATGTAAGACCCGAAACCATGAAACTTCTAGAAGAAAACATAGGCAGTGTGCTCTTTGACATCTGTCTTAGCAGGATATTTTCAAGTAACATGTCTGACCAGGCAAGGGAAAGAAAAGAAAAAATGAACAAATGGGACTACATCAAACTGAAAAGTTTCTGCACAGCAAAGGAAACTCAACAAAACGAAAAGACAACCTAACAATTGGGAGAAGATATTTGCAAACCATACATCAGATAAGGGGTTAATATCCAAATTATACAAACATTAAATTTTTTTAATTTAAAAATATTAATAGACTTGAACATTTTCAAAAGTTGCATCCTTTTTTTCTTTTTTTGTATTTGCTAAGATGCAAGTCCAAATGAAAACCGGGGACCAAGAGAACTGAGGAGGTTGCATACTGGCAATATGGCTTCTTGCCAGCATGTCTCTTCGTTCACTGGATGCAGAAGTTGCAGTTTTTATAGCAATAATTGCTCACCTGCATTGCTCCTGACATATCACATTTAATAGCCTAATTATTGATCCTGGACATAGCTGAATTGGGTGCATTAGGATTTCAGTGACAGTATACGCTTAAAAAAGTTTTATTTAGAGATAATTTCAAACTTACAGAAAAGTTGAAGGAATAAGAATAGTTCAAAGAACACCTGTATGTACTTTACCCAGGTTCACCTGTTATTAATATTTTGTGCACTCACTCTTTCTTTCCATATTATTGAGGGAATATAGTTCATAATATATCCATATATATATTGAGGATATATATTATATACCCTCAATAATGAACTTTATAGCATTTTCTCTCTCTATCATAGGATTAGTCTAGGATCAGGTGTTGCATTGTGTGTCATGTCTCTTTAGTCTCCCATAATCTGGAACATTTATTTCCACAGCCTTTCTTTGACTCCTGTGTCATTAACATTTTGGAAGAATACAGTAGCTTTCCACCTTGTTTTAACTGAAAGTTCCTCATTTGAGGTTTATCTTATGTTTCTTCATGATTAGATTCAAGTTATCCATTCGTGACTGGAAGACATACTACATAAGTGGTATTGTGTCCTTTATCAAGCTATCATTCTGGAGGCCCATCATGTCCACCTGCTCATTGGTGATGTTAATATTGATTACCTGGTCAAAGGTGTTGTCCAGTTTTTTGCTGTATATTTACTATTTTTCTCTTGCAACCAGTAAACAGTTGGTGGGGAGACTTAAAAATTATGTATATACCCTACTTCTCAATTAAAATTTTCCTTTAGATTAGCATTCTTACTTGAGCCAATCTTTTAATTATGATGGCTGCCAAATGGTCATTTTTGAACTTTAGCACTCCCTCCACATTTACCAGTTGACACTCAACATTCTACTATAAGCAAGAGCTCTCCCTTCTCCCATTTATTGAATATTTATTTATTTATTGACTTATTGACATTCATTTATTATCAATATGGATTTATGTATTCCTATTTTTCATTAATTTGTAATTCATTACTCTTCTTAATTATCTTTTAACAGTTTTATTGAGGTGTAATTGACATACAGTAAACTGCACATATTTAAAGTATAAAATTTGATGAGTCTTGACATATGTATGTACCTGTGAAACAACCACCACAATCAGGATAGTGAATATATACATCACTACTCAAAGTTTCCTCATGCTCTTTTGTCACTCCTCTCCCCCACTCTTCCTTAAATAACAACTGATATGCTTTCTGTCACCATAGATTAGTTTGCACTTTCTAGAGACATATACAAATGGGATCATAGGGAATCTACTCTTGTTTTGTATGGCTTCTTTCACTCATCATAATTATTCTGAGATTCATTCACGTTGTTATGTGTATGCATAGTTTATTCCCTTATTGTTGAGTAGTATCTCATTGTATGGATATACCACATTTGCTCTTAAGTCCACTTTGTCTTTTATTAATATAGTTACTTAAGGTTTTCTTTAACTAGTGTTAGCATTGTGTATCTTGTTTCATCCTTCTTCCTGTTTATTTCTTTTTTTAATGCAATCTGTCAACCTCTGCCTTTTAATTGGGGTGTTTAGAATATTTACATTTGATATGTTTATTGACATGGTTAAGTTTGAGTCTATCATTTTGTTATTTATTTTCTATTTGTCCCATCTGTGCTTTACTCCCCCTTTTTTCTTTTTCTGCCTCCTTTGGATTATTTGAGTAATTTTTTTCAAAATAATTTATGAGTCTAGTGTAATTTTTATTCCAACTTCCTGAAGAATTTATATTGGAATATTATGAAAAGATTCTAAGGATGATCTGGAGGAATAAACAGTGAGACTAGCCGAGGAAATTTTGAAAAGGAAGAGTAATTAGAGAGGTCTTGTCACATCACATACTATTTGAGTAATTTTTAAGATTTGATTTTATTTCTTTTGTTGGATTATTAGTGGTTTCTTTAGGGTTTATACTATATATTTTATCTTGATCTACCTTCATATGTCATAATAGTATACTTTCATAGCTCCCAGCCTGGCCTTTATGCTATCTTTGTCATGCATTTTACTTTTACATATGTTATACAATCCACAATACTATTTTATTATTTTTGTTTAAATCATAAATTTTCTTTTAAAAGAGATGTAAATAATAAGAAAAAATTGTATATACTTTTACATGTAGTTACCATTTCAAATGATCTTTATTCCTTTGTATACGTCCAAATTTCCATCTTATGTTATTTTTCTTCTGCTTGAAGAACATTGTGTTAGGGTTCTCCAGAGAAACAGAACCAATAGGATATGTATATATATGCATATATATGCATATATATATATGTGTGTGTGTGTGTGTGTGTGTATATGTGTGTGTGTGTGTATATATATATATACATACATACACACACACACAGATTTATTATAA